AGGACCAGCAGGCTTGTGGGAGCCAAAACAAGCGGCCCCAGGAGCTGGGACTTGAAGCCTTTGGCTGGGACACAAGGACCAGTAGGGAGCATCGGCCTGCCCCAGGCACCAGATGACGTCTCCAGCAGGCCCAGCATGAGGGCTCGGCTCCTCAGCAGAGGATAAAGAAGCTTATTACTTTAAGCAGGATGAAGTGTGTAAATTAATTACCCCAGCCACCCGTGCATGTAGTGGCCAGCCCTGCACACTTGGAGAACACGTGCCCCTGTCCCTCCTGCAGTTGGTTCCCCCGCTGGCACAGCCCTGAGGGCATGTGGCCGCATGCCCAAGGGAAGGCAAGGCTCTGGCCCAGCCTGTCCCCCACAGACACAGCCAGGTAGCCTGGAGGAGAAAGCGGGCTGGATTTCTCCACTGGCACTGCCACTAGTGAAAGTAGGGGTCAGAAAAGAGCAGGAAGAGAAAAGGTCAACACTTTGTTCTGTTCTCCATGAGTTCCCTGAGCAACTGTTCACGGAGTGGTTACAATGTTTCGGGCGCTGTGGTGACCCTTTACTTCCTATCATTTATTCAGTCCTCCCCACAACTCTGGTGGGCACCATTATTAGCTCCATTTTGCAGACAGGAACACTGAGGGGCAGGGAGAGTAAGTACCCTCTTCTGCTGACTCAGGTGCTCCCAGGCACAATCAAGATTCAGCTCAGAACAGCTTGCTGCTCCCACGTGGGCACAGGAGGGCTGAACTGTGACAGGGTCGCTAATGCACATCCAGCCCACAGCAGAAATTCTTCTGTCTCAGGCCCTTAGCTGCTGAGCTGCGCCCTGCTCCCTGCGTTGGAACCCTGCAGCAGCTAGGTCCTGCTCCCCCAGCCGCTCCTCTGCCCCAGCCTCTATCCAAGGCCATTCCCAAACCACTGTGGCCTGCTCTGCTCACTGCCCATGTCCACCCGGCCCTCCCCTGCCACCGTAGGTCCTGCAGACAGCATCTTCAGGACCTACCTGGTTCTCCACTCTCAGTGCTGACCTGGTCCCTGGCCCTTCCCCAGCTTACACAGGCTGTGTGACGCGGGCTCCGGCCTTGCTGCTTGCCACCTGTGGGAACTCACATACGGGAACTGACATACGGGAACTCATCACACAGGGAATTCATCTCCTGGTCAAGGCCGACTGGTCCTCCCAGACCTGCCCATCACAGGTCTCACCCCTGCTGTCTCATCCCCAGAGAGCTGACCTCCCGCAGCCCTTTACCGCGCCCAATGCCTGCGCACCTAGACCAGCCCGCCAGCCGGTCCTTGGTGCCGTCCTCACCACCATGGCTAGCTGCCAGTTCCCCGCAGCTTCCTACTAGCCATGCCTAAATCTTGCCACGACTCAGATGCAGCTGCTCGGCGTCCACAAGAGATTAGTCTTCTACCCCCCACCCCACCAACACCAAGCTCCGCGGGTGCTCAAGTCTCTTGTATGTAGTGGTGTGGAACACACACAGAACCTATCTACGCACATCCTCCTGTGTACATTAAATCATCTCTCAGTCATGGATATCTAATACAATGTAAATGGCATGTAAATTGTTGTTACACTGTATTGTTTAGGGAATAATGCCAAGCAAAAGTCTACCTGTTTGGTACAGATGCAATTTTTTTCTCACTTTTTCAATCATGGTTGGTTGAATCCACAGAAGTGGAGCCTCAGACACAGAGATCCACGGTCTCTTCTCCCGCACCCCTCCTGTGCTACCTCTTTATAGGACCCCTGAACTTCCCTCTCATCTGGGCCTGTGCAGTGGGCCCCACTTTGGTCCAGGGCACCTGTTCCAGCCCAGAGCCCTAATTCATCAGCTACATAACACTTCCTCCTCCAAAGAAGATGGAGCCCGGCTCCACGAGGCTCTTCCAGGCTGCCCTTCCCACTGCTAGATCAATTTCTGCACAAAGGTGCACAAAGGTGCCCATCTGCAGCCCATGAACTCAGCCCCACCGAGGACGGGACCAGCCTGAGAGAAATGCTGGATTGGGTGCTGCGGCCCAGCCACAGGCCGGCAAGGAAGCCAGTCGTGTCCATCTGAGATTATCTGACCAAAGGCCGTGAGCCAGAACCTGAACCTTCGTCCATCCCTGGCTCCCTGTCCACTACCATCCCTCGGGAACGGGGTTCTGGCTCACCCCCTCACTACCCCAACCTCTTGAAATATAGGTCTGGGGGCCCGAGCCCCCCCTTGCCTCCTCCCCACCTCCCCGCCTTGGCATGGTGAGGAATTAGGAACCAGAAGCTGACACATCTACCAGGCAATTAGCGTTTATCTCCCTTGTTTATGTGGCTGAACAACAGATCATTTTGAAACATAATAGTCAATACTCAGAAAGATAAAACTGCCTCGGACACTCTTGGGAGATGATTTGAAGTCTGATGGGACAAGGACAGAGCTTTAGCAATGAAGCTGGCACAGCCGCCCAGCCCCTCCTCTGGCCGGGCCCCTGCAGACAGCCCAGGGACGGTGCCTACGCAGAAGGGCCCTGTGCAACCCGCGGCCTCCATGCCCACTTTCCTGGGCAGAGACGGATGGCATGAGTAGCAAGTCCTCACTCTCGCTCAGGCTGTGGATCTGCGGTCCCACGGTCCATGCTAGGCCAGAGTCG